TGAAGCATGAGGTCTGACTGCCACGCTGAGTAGCTCCCTAGGGGACTGTGTGGAGAATTTTAGTGGCTTTGTCCTGGAGCATCTCAGACAGGTCTGGGCTACTTCAGATAAGCACCTGAGCCTGAACTAGGGGCTGAGTGGTGAGAGTCCATGGAGGATACACTGTTCATCCATAGTCAGTCTGCCTACCCCTCCAACTCCCACCAGGTCTGGTAGAAGCTAAGGGCACGAGTCTGCCCCCGGCTCCCCTTTCCTGTGATAGACACAGCCCCCTGTCACCACCACACTAACTCCTGGTAGGTCTCTGCAGAGTGATGGATGTGGTGAGCCTCACTGTTCACGGTACAGCGTGTGCCAAGCTCTGCACTGAACTAGGAGAAGGAGGGGCCGTGGCCTGCTAGGACTCATGGGACTTCACATGAGCTCATACCTGGGGGGGTGCTGGACAGGGCGCCGCGGTGTGCCTGACAATGTCTGACTCAACCTACATACACTGTGGGTCTCTTGGGGAGCTGAGGGAAATGGAGGGACCAGAACCAGGGTGTTTTTGCCCCTAGGCACCGGGCAAGGCCATAGGCTGGATAGAGAGAGGCTTCGGCTCCCTCAAGGGCTCCTTGTTTGTGACTGGTGTGAGGGCCCGTGGCAGGCTCGTTCTCAGGAGGGGTCATCAGACATGCAGGAGGGAGAGGACCACATAGGAAAGACCTGACCCATCTGGATTCCTTCCCATTCAGGACTAGTCACAGACTCAGGATCTGGAATGGATATCTGTTCACCCTCTGAGGACTTTGCTCTGACTCCTTACATGGTTGTATTGGCACCAAGACCCAAACACACAGCCCTGAAACTCTCCTTATCAAATTCTCTCACCAGCCTGGACATTTGAAGGGCTTCTCTGTCTTGTTCTTTGAGTCAGTGCCCGGCACATAGTGGGTGCTTTACAGACCCTGTTGAATGACTGCGGTGATGCTTAGCAATCTACCAGGTCCTTGCTTTATTTCGTCTTTAGCATGCCTGTGAGACAGCAGGCTTGTTCCCGAATCCCAGAGAGGAAAACTGAGGTGCCCAGAGATTGAGCAGCCCAGCCCCTGCTCGGCCCTGCTCCAGGCTGCTCTGTGGCTAGGAGCTCTGCGGCTTCCCTTTTGTTTTATCAGCCTTCCTGGACCCCACAGCTGCCAGAGCCGCCTCCTGCTCCTCCCGCCTGGGAATCCCCTGGGGGAGCTTGTAAAAGAGCCCCAAGACCAGGCTTGTCCTGGGTAACGCTGAAGCAGGGGTTGGGGCAGACAAGGAGTCTACCTCGAGATTCTGATGATCCACTGGGTTTGAGAACAGCTGCGAGTTGAGGTGTGGCATTGGCCAAAGATGTTCCCTGGCCCATTCAAGTGTGACATGACTTCATGCCTGAGAAGGGGTAGGGCGAAGGGGTGGGGCGAAGGGCAAAGATGGATGAGGAGTTCATTGCCTGGAGGTGTGCCAGCTTGACTGGACATGTTGCCCAAGACCTGTGGCTTAAGGGTCCCAGCTCTGACGACTTTGGGATAAATACACATCACTTACACAAAGGAAGTGTCCCCCACTCTTTTGCTGTCTTGGACCACCTGAGACCTATTCACAACCTTGTCCCGACAAGATCCTTCAGAGGGTCGGGAACAAGAGGGCAGTCTCTTCCTTTGTAGTTGGGCTCCAGTGTGGAGGGGGTCATACTTCTTCAGGTGTCTCCTATGGTGCATGTGGGTGGGGAATCCAGCATCACAGAACTCTATACCACCATCGTGCCTGTGTTCCTGACTGTGGGCTTCTCTCCAGGGCCAAATGATAACATCCTTCTGTAGACTAGATTATGTGATTGTCTCCTATTCCCTAATCTCTGAGAGTTGGAAACAGTGTGTGTTTGTGTGTGTGTGTGTGTGAGAGAGAGAGAGAGTAGGAAAGAGAGAGAGTTGATGTAAACCTTAGCTTGGCAGTTAGACCTGGGTTCAAGTCTGTCACCTTTCATGCTGTTAAAGCTTGGGCAAATATTTCATGTTCTGTAGTTGGGGCTTAGTGGCTTTTGGTCACCATGATGTCCATTTTCAGTCCTAAAGGACTGTAAGGTCTGTGGTTGGGCATGAATTCCAGGCCCATCCAGACATCAACAGACTGGTTGCCAGCAGATTTTGAGAATCTTTTGCCAAAATTTGGAGGTTGGCTGAGTGGTATTGGGTTCCTTTTCCTAGGTCTGGTCCCCAAGATATATATTTCAAATTTGCTTTTCTTAGGCAGGATGTTAGCTCCAGAAGGGTCTGGCTAACAGACCCTTAGCACAGATAGCACAGAAAGAATGTGGGTGGGCTGGCTCAAGGCCCTGGAACAGGGTATAAAGATAATGGTGGTAGCTGATTCCAGATGGGCCAGCCCAGGGCCTCCAAAACAGATACAAAAAACAATGGGTGATAGTGAGCCCAGTATTTAGAGTATATTAATGAAATTTCAAGACTTAGTTTTCAGGATGGGTGGTAGTGGTACATGCCTTCAATCTCAGCTCTCAGGAAGCAGAGAGCTTATCTTTGAGTTCAAGGCCAGCCTGGTCTACAGAGTGAGTTCCAGGACAGCCAGGGCTACACAGAGAAACCCTGTCTCAAAAAACCTGAAGCCAGCCTTGATGAGACCTGATAGGCTAGGGTCAGATAGAAGGGGAGAAGGTCCTCCCCTATCAGGGGACTAGGGAAAGGGCATAGGGGGAGAAGAGGGAGGGTGAGTGGGGCTGGGAGGAGATGAGGGAGGGGGCTGCAGTGGGCATATAAAGTGAATAAATTATAATAAATAAACATCTAAATAAAATGAAGAAAAAAAAACCTCAAACCAAACTAAACCAAAAAGAATTAGTTTCCAGGAAAGCCTGTGTTGAGGTCTGTTGATCTTTTTACCTTAGCAAACCTTTCATTTTAGGGGTGCTTAAACCCTTAAACGTATTCTTGCATCTTGCACCTTGACTTGTGACAGACCACATTCTGGGCAAAGTGGGCTTCGAAGTAAAGCGCACTCCTAGAAGTGTGCACCCTGGCAGGTGACAGTGTGGAAAAGGGAATGCAAACCCCGTGACCGCCATGGAGGCCGTTGCCGCTCAGATCCTGCGTCAAGTGTGTGCTCCTGCTTTCTTGCTCGCTCTAATTAAAGTCTTCACTGCTCGATCTACTAACGTGCCCCACCTGAATTCTACTCAAAGCCCTGGCCGGGAGAATGGTGTCAAGAGCAGAGGAGACTGGAGCCCTCTGCAGAATATTTTAACCTCTGGTTGAGAGGCCAACAGGCCAGAAGGAGATGTGGTAGCAATAAACAAGATTTTCTGCCCCAGAAGAGCTCAGCCTCAGGAAAGACTTTTTGGGCTCCTGCTACCTCAAGAGAGAAACAACAGGGCCAGGACAGAGTCCAGTGTCACGCTGTTGCCCCTTGGCATCCAAAAGACTGTCTTTGGGCCAGACGCCATCCTTCCTGTCCTACCAAGCACCTGTGGGCAGGTAGGTGAGAATTGGAATTACCTGGCCCCTGCCTGCAAGGCATCATGGGAGCCTGGAGAGTTCTGGCTTTGCGAGCCTAGTGGCAGTGGCTGGCTCCCACCCTCTCTGGTTCTTTCTTAGTCCTTCTCGCCTACAACGTTAATTCAAGGATGAAGAGAAAGATGTGAATTTGAGAGGTGCAGAGGCAGGTTTGGGACGGCGCTGATGTTCTGGGAGCCCACTGAGCTTCCTTCTGTGTTCTGACCCCTTCACCTGTGTATTGGTGGTGGGGATGGCTGTGTAGAAAGTGTGACAGGTATTCCTCAGCAGTGCAAGGCAACAAGAAAGCCCTGTGCACACTGGATGAACAAAGCCACCAAGCCCACTGTGCACACTGGATGAACTGTAGCCACCAGGAAGCTATTGGGCAGCCCCTGGGCAGGATGGTTTCCACATTAGACTCTAAGGTCCATGGAGGGGCGGAGTGGGGGGTAGGACTGGGTACACAGGAACAGTATTAGGAGCAGGATGGAATTCCTTCCTGCAGACCACTGCTGACCACAGGGGGCGCCCCTGAGTAGATGAGGACAGGAGGTGGTGTGGAGGAGCTGTGTGCCTGGAGTGGGTGTTCTCTAAGAGAAGGGTTCTTAGGATGGGGGCCGGGATACAGAACTGGGAGAGAGAGGCAGGCAGGCTGCAAAGGAAGGATGAAGAGGCTGGCCCCTAGGGGAGGGGCCTCCAGGCACGATCTTTAAGACTGCTGCATGTCCGGAGAGAGCGAAGGCCCAGCGGGGTGACAAGATCTTCCCGTGCTGGGCAGTGAGTGAGAGAGTCCAGGTGGGCACGTGGTGTCATAGGGTTTGGCTGCCATAGGGCACACCATTCTGGACATCTTGAGTGTCTCAAAGGCAGTTTCCAAATCTAAATCAGGTCCCATGGGAAAGGGAATCCTCTGATATTTAGAACCAGAAAGGACTGCAGATGCCCAGGCCGGACTTGTCCTTGTGGAGGGAAAGCAGGCACAGAGAAGGGAGGTGAAGGGCAACCTAGCCCTACTGGATGGCATGTGGGACTCCCACACAAGCATCTCGAGAGAGTCTGGGTTGGCATCGGAGGGTCTCCAGCCACCTGAGGTTCTCACCGTGGGGCAGGGATAGGCCTCACTGCTGCCGTCCCCTCAGGCTCCGGGAACAGAAGCTGATTCCTGGCCACACAGCCTGAGTCAGTCTCTGATTTGTGTGTTTTTCTCTGGGCCCCACACCCTCAGAGCTGGGTGGGAACACAGGAGCCATCGCATGGAGGAGGAAGAGTCCACCCTGGGATGAATAATCCAGAGCGGGGAGTTGGACGGGACTGGGTGACGAAATCCAGAGGGGAACCTAGAGTCAGCAGACAGAGGGCCCCGCCTTCCCCGGGTGCATATAAAGGGACCTGGTGTCTGAGGCACCCACAGCATCTCATTCTTCACGAGCAGCTCTCTCTCCTCTCATCTGCCTTGCTCACACTCTCACCTCTCTCAAGACCATGGCCACCTGCAGCCGCCAGTTCACCTCCTCTAGCTCCATGAAGGGCTCCTGTGGCATCGGTGGCGGCTCTAGCCGCATCTCCTCCGTCCTGACTGGAGGATCCTGCCGGGCTCCCAGCACCTATGGGGGCATGTCAGTCACCTCCTCTCGATTCTCCTCTGGGGGAGCCTGTGGCATTGGGGGCGGCTATGGTGGGGGCTTCAGCAGCAGCAGCAGCAGCTTTGGGGCAGGCCTCGGTGCTGGTTTTGGTGGTGGATATATGGGTGGCTTCGGTGCTACTTTGGGTGCTGGCGTCGGTGAGGGGCTCCTGGCGGGCAGCGAGAAAGTGACCATGCAGAACCTCAATGACCGGCTGGCCACCTACCTGGACAAGGTGCGTGCCCTGGAGGAGGCCAACACTGACCTGGAGGTGAAGATCCGGGACTGGTACCAGAGCCAGAGGCCCACCGAGATCAAAGACTACAGCCCCTACTTCAGGACCATTGAGGAGCTGAAGAGCAAGGTGGGTGGCCTTGGTGGATGAAATGTTGAGAGGTCAGAACTGCAGGGGCCTTTAGGAAGCCACTTCTAGAGACTCTAAGACTAAAGATCTTGGGAAGCTAATGGTCGGAGTTATCCAGAGAGGTGGCAGAGGGTCTCCCTTGAATGTCCCTGCCTCTGCTGGAACAAGGACCCCCTGACACTCTTTGAGGGTACCTTATGCTGCATGCTCAGCTCCTCAAACTCTGGGCCTGGGACAGGGTTGGTAGCAGACATAAGTGCACCCCTGCATAGCCCCAGCTGTGGAGAAGTAAGTAATCAGTTGTCCCAGAAAGCATTAGGAGCTGACCTGCCAGTGACGCGCTCACAGGGTTTGGGGAGGCTCCTTTTGCTCTCCTCTGTCCTTCTCCCTTGAGCAGTAGGGTCCCTGGCTGATCAGATTTCCTACCCTTTCATTCTCACTCTAGATCATTGCAGCCACTCTGGAGAACGCACAGCCCATTTTGCAGATTGACAATGCCAGGCTGGCAGCTGATGACTTCAGGACCAAGTGAGCAGTCAGCATGCTGGGCTGAGGACTGAGAGCAGAGGGCAGAGGGCAGAGGGAGAAGGGCAGAGGGAGAAGGGCATAGGTCAGAGGCAAAAGAGTAGGGCTGTCCACTTGTAGCTTTGACCTCTGTCCTTCCAGGTATGAGCATGAGTTGACCCTGCGTCAGTCTGTGGAGGCTGACATCAACGGCCTGCGCCGGGTGCTGGATGAGCTGACCCTGGCCAGGACTGACCTGGAGATGCAGATCGAGAGCCTCAGGGAGGAGCTGGCCTACCTGAAGAAGAACCACGAGGAGGTGAGGCTGCCGTTGAGTTTGGGGAAGGAAGGTCAGGTGTGGTGAGGTTCCCAGGAGAGGTGACGAACCCCCTTGTGTCTTTCCTAGGAGATGCTTGCCTTGAGGGGTCAGACTGGTGGGGATGTCAATGTGGAGATGGACGCGGCCCCTGGCGTGGACCTGAGCCACATCCTGAATGAGATGCGAGACCAGTATGAACAGATGGCAGAGAAGAACCGCAGAGATGCCGAGGCCTGGTTCCTGAGCAAGGTGGGGCTTCTCTCCTCCCTACTCCTGCAGGACCCCTGGCCAGGGAGGCTTTGGAAAGCCTCACACCTTCTCTCTCCCGTCTCAGACTGAGGAGCTGAACAAGGAAGTGGCTTCAAACAGTGAGCTGATACAGAGTGGTCGCAGCGAGGTGTCTGAGCTCCGCAGAGTGTTCCAGGGCCTGGAGATTGAACTGCAGTCCCAGCTCAGCATGGTATGAAGCACCTGGCCCCAGGGCATTCATCCTAGTCACCATTCCTCAAGAGGGCCACCATCCAAACATGCCCAGAGACCTGCAGAGACAAAAGGGACCATCACCACAGACTGTTTTCCCTTTCCCTCACACACAGAAAGCCTCCTTGGAGAACAGCCTAGAAGAGACCAAAGGCCGCTACTGCCTGCAGCTGGCCCAGATCCAGGGCTTGATCAGCGGTGTGGAGGAGCAGCTGGCTCAGCTGCGCTGCGAGATGGAGCAGCAGAGCCAGGAATACAACATCCTGTTGGACGTGAAGACCCGTCTGGAGCAGGAGATCGCCACTTACCGCCGTCTGCTGGATGGCGAGGATGCCCAGTGAGTTGGCCCTTAATCCCTGTCCACAGTCCCCCTGATCCTGCTGCTCTCAGCAACCTAACGCTCCCATTCCTTCTCTCCACGTCCTAGCATCTCCTCCTCGCAACACTCATCTGACCAGTCCTATTCTTCCAGAGAAGGTAAGGCTCCTGGCCCTCCCTTTCCTTGCCTGGCAGCTTGCTTAGCTCCCAGAAAGCACCTCACTTTTTTTTTTTTCTTTCTCTTTGTCAGTCTTCTCTTCATCCTCCCGCCAGCCCCGGTCCATCCTCAAGGAGCAAGGCTCATCCAGCTTCAGCCAGAGCCAAAGCCAGAGTTCCAGGAACTAATCTGCCTCTCTCAGAGCCTCCTGACCCACACTGGTCCCCCCATTCTGGAGGCCTGGGACAGGAGACTGTTTTCTTAGCATGATCCTCAGCTGTCTCCCCTCCCCTCTGCTGGTGGTAGGCTAATAAAGCTGACTTTCTGGTTGATGCAAACTCGTGTGATCTCCATGTGTAAGCTGATGGGGGAGGGGTTGATGGGACCTCCCAGGAACTCCTCTGGGGTCCTCTTACTTAGAGAGGTGCAGAGAACATACTGTGTTTCAGAAGAGCTTTTGGAGGCTTCCAGAAGTTCTCCATGCAAGCAGGGGATAAAAGGGGGAGAGGGAACACAAAGAGGGAAGATATTCATGTGGTGGATGATGGCCACTGTGTGAGGTCCTTCTGCAGAGGACCTTTAACTGTCTTCTGCTAGAGACCCTGCAAGGCAGTTGAACTTAGGGCATTTTGGGGTTGGGAACTCCTGGGAATCAAGGAGGTTCTTGTGCCTTAGAGACACAGCAGGTGGCATTTGAAGCTCCTCCCCAGGTCTTCTGTCTGGCTTTCTGTTAATACTACTCTGCTTGTTCAGGTACTTTGAGTTCTGAACTTCAGAGTTGTGCTTGGGGATGGCTCTTCTACACAATACTGGATAACACATACACACACACACACACACACACACACACACACACACACACACACACAGACACACTGATTTTGTCATTGAAGGGAAGGAAAGTAGAGCTTTGGAATGGAGTTACCGCCAAGATAAAAATCTCTCCTAGCTCATCTTCACCTCCTCACCATATCCGTTCCTCCCTTGGGATGCTTATGAGTACCTGGGAGACATCTGTTCCCCATGCTCTCCTTCCCATCTCTGCCGGAGCCCGCCAGCAGAGTGGAACGGTTCTTGAGTCGTTAGTGAGGATTAAAATTAATACAAAAACATAGAGCACACAGGAGCCTTTTTAAAGAAGGTCCGGTCTCGGTCTCCACAGCTACAGCAGCAAGCCACAAGCAGCAGCCTTAAGCCTCTGCAGCAAAACTAGCAGCAACTTAGCAGCAACCTAGCAGCAACTGCCAGCCTTTTTTTTTATTGTAGAGCTTTTAAGCCAGAGTAGAAACATCTCAGAACAATGGGTTAATTTCCACAAGGAGTTTGAGGAAGAGGTGTGATCTTTACAAGCTATCCCATCTGCTGTCACAAACAAAAGGAGATGGACTTGTAAATTCTCCCCTGACTTAGTGAAGGCCTGGTAAAAGCAGTCTCTCCGCTGAGATTTAAATATCAAAGCAGCTGCCAGAGCCATGGTACTGGACACTCTCCATCCATCTCCATGGATAAAACCACTCCTGGAGCCTTTTCCCTCCTTCCCAGGAGTTGGGTACATGTGTCTCTTTCCACCTGTCTCTCCCATTTCCACTTTCTACCAGATGACAAGAACATGGTCAAGGTCTGGAAAACAGACCAGCATCCCCTACTCAAAGGCCTGTGATGAATCCCTTTCTTTCTTCCACATGGGCCTTTCTTGTGCTGCTCCCATGAGAGTCAACTCTTCCTGACTAATTGCACGGTCCAGGTCCATGCCTTTCAGGCACTGTTCCTTTTTCCTGGATGCCTTCCAGAATTTAAAAGGAAAAAAGAAACATATATATATATAAAATGTGTGCATGTACATGTACATATGTGGCTATCTAAGTGTGTGTGTATGTTTGGTTGCATGTAGAAGAGCCATTTCAAAATTCCTTTGTTTCCTGACTTACTCTTAGATGTATGCATTCTCTAAATGTGTTAAGATCCTGGGATTTCTATTATTTCATCTTGATGCTATCTCTTTTGGGGTCTTCTGTTCTCCTGTGCCAGTCTCTGTAAATAGTCATCCATTGCTCTCTGATCTCTCTCCCTCCCCTGCTCTCCTTCCTTCTTTTCCTCCCATCCCCTTCCTCCGCCATTTTAGGGAATCATATTTTCCCAGCTATTTCCCAAGAACTCATATAGGTTAGCTTTTTGTTGTTGTTTCTGAACTCATGTCTGGAAAGGTCTTTTGTCTATGCTCACTCTTGACAGATAATTTGGCTGGGTATAGAATTCTAGGTTGGACATTGTTTTTCCTCAGCCTCTGAGGGTCTTCACTGGCGTTGCTATTAAAAAGCCTCATGCCAGCCTGTCGTGGTGGTGCACGCCTGTGATTCCAGCACTCTGGGAGGCAGAGGCAATTGGATCTCTGTGAGTTTGAGGTCAGCCTGGTCTACAAAGCTAGTCCAGGACAGCCAAAGCTACACAGAGAAACCCTGTCTTGAAAAACCAAAGCAAACCAACCAACCAACCAACCAACCAACCAGCCAACTAACCAACCAACCATCTCTTGCCACTTTAGTTGTAGGTCCTTTGCTTTGTTCTGTTTCCTATGTGGAATGTAAAAGCTACCAGCTTTTGGGAGTTGTGTGGGAGCAGGGGAATGAGAAAGTCCCAGTCTGTTAATTGGTAATTTTTGTAACTGACCATTTCAGTTGGTCCCTTCCCTTGACCCCGATTGTTGTCTTTTGGTTCAGATCCAATGGGGAGTATTTCTTTTAGATTCCAGACTCTTCTGGCCCAAAGGGAGAATGGTTGAGAGCTGTTAGGCACATACAAGGAAAGAGAAACTTTAGAGACTTTCCTACTTCTGTGTAAGACCTTTAACCCACTCTCTCATTTCTTTAAGACAGGGTCTCACCATGTAGCCTAGGCTGGCCTGGAACTTGTGATCCTCCTGCCTCCACCTCCTGGATACTAGGGTTACAGGCATGTACCACCACAGCTACCTGCCTCCTGTTTCCAACTCACTCTCACCTCATTTTCAGAGGTGTCCCGGGTCCTCTCTGGCAGTGATTTCTGGGGTTCTGATGTGTGTCCCATTTCCTTCTTACTCTCTGCTTCGGCAAGCACTCCATTTTCTTTGTGTCTTTCAGACTCTGACACTTTGCTGCTGTAAGCCCCTTCTCACTCATTGTCCCCATGGGTTTTTTTTCAATTACAGTCATTCTGGTGGTGCTTAGAAGGCGAAACTAAACCATATATTTAGCTTGTCATTTTAATCTGAAATTCCTGCTTTGCGTGGTAAAAGCACATTCATCTTTCAAGGTTGTTGAGCCTGGCTCATTATTTTACAATAAATAATTTTCCTTAATTGTTCAGCAAACATCTCTCTCTTTCTCTCTTTATGGTCACCAAGCCTGTCCTCCAGATTATAGGGTGAACCTATGATTCATACTGAACCCTAAATCCCAATACCCCGAAGCCACTACTGGTAACGATTTTCTTATTTTTACATGTATATGAAAATACTTATGTATATTATGATTAGAGCTGCAATAATACACTGAATCCATTTTGCTTTCAGTTTTTCCCATGGTGCTGTGCATCTACTCTGAGAGCCTCGAGAATGCTCAGCAAGCAGTCTACAACACAGTGACATCACCAGCCTCAGTTTTTACTGATATCATAAATGAAACACGTTCCTGTATTGTTAAAAGCGTTACCTGTTTTTAGTGTTCTTTTCACCGTTTGTGGCAGTGGTTGCCAACAGAAGAGCACAGCATACTGCTTTCCTAAGTAAATGTTTTTGGATTTTTCCCCTTAGGCTAGGTCTCAGAGATGTAATTATCAAACGAGGAGAATAGAAATGTTTCAAGCTATTGCCAAACTGATTTCAAGAGGCACGGCGTCAGCCTGCACAGTTGCCACCAGGAAATGGGAGTGTCCGTTCAAGACATGCCCTCCGACTTTGAGCACTGTCTTCTGGGAACTTCCTTAATAAAGTGATTCATCTGTCTCCTGTAGAGTGATGTCATTTAGGGATCCTTACACAGAGAGTCAGGCTTGGGGACAGCTCCTGGCCTGCTGCACACGCTCAGGAGTTGTTCTGAATGGGATGTCAGAACACAGGGATCACGCTTTACCTGGGTGTGGGAGCTGTGGTAAAGAGTGGCTGGTCCCACTCTCCTCGGACAGTTTGCCTCTGATCCATAGACCCTTGGGAAGCTCATGAGAAAGGCTTCCGCCACATCAATAAGGACACTGAGGTCTGTGTTAGCTAGTTTTGGTTTATTATCATGAACCATGTGAGGCTAGGTAACGTCATGAAGGTATCTACTTTGGCTCATGGTTTTAGAGGCACAGAGTCCCATTGACTCGGCCTCTAGTGATGATCTTCTTGCAGGCAGAATCCCAGAGTGGCATAGGTCTTCACTTGGTAGGATACACAGGAGTGCCCGAGTCTGTGTCTGTGTATCTTGTCTCTCTTCTTTTTCTTCTATCGCTACCAAGATTCAGTAATGACCTTATTTAAACCTAGTCACTTTGCAAGGATGCCCCACTTCCAGACACTGTAGTTGGGTTTAAGTGTCCGCTCTCCTAATACCATGGAGCTGCTGGGGAAGAGGTGGCATGAGCAGCATTCAAACCACAGCAAGGCCTAGGACAATCAAGAGTGGTGGGGGAAGGAGTATTCTTGGGGCCTGGCTGTTAGCAAAACTCCCTAAGGGCAGAAACATCATTTTTCTGGTCCATTGGTGCAATTTGAAGACGTGAAACAGTTGTCCTTTAAAGGACAGTATTGGGCTGGGCAGGTTACTCAGTTGGTAAGGTGCTCACTTAGCACACACAAAGCTCTTGTTTTGATCTTTCAGAGTTCAAGAGGCAGAGGTAAGAGGATTAGAGGTTCAAGGTCACCTTTGACTCTGTGACTTGAGGCCAGCCTGGAAATATATAAGACCCTGTCTCGGTAAACAAACCACACGCACGCACGCACGCACGCACGCACGCACGCACGCACGCACGCACTACCCAGCAACGTCAAGACGAAAATGGGGCCTTGATTCTAGAAGCTTCTTTTAGACAAGCGAACCTGCCTTTTCGCCTGGAATTGCCTGCTGGTCCAAGTCTCAAATCAGCCCTGGGTGCTCCTTGAGGCTTCCTGGGCCGGGATGAAGAGTACTCACCCTGTGCGATGTGCGTTGTCACTTGTCTGTTCTGAACACGC